TGGGAAGAAGCTGTGTTACAGTCCCAAAAGAACATGGTTCAAATCCACCAGCTGCTCCGTGGAGGAAGGATGTGCCATCTCCTTTCTCCTCTGAAAGCTCACTGGAAGGTCAGCTATGGGTCAGTTCCTAGCTGACGGCACTCGACAACAATAGCAGATATGACAAGTGGACCAGCTTTGTTATTATGTTGTTATTGTGTGCTGTCGAGTTAGACTGATTCATAATTGACCCCTGAATTGGGAGGTGATTGCCCTCCTTCTCCTGCAGAGCTGCTGGGGATTTGAACCATCTGCCTTTGGGATTGCAGCGCAGCTTCTTACCCCTAGGCCACCAGAGCACTCTGGGTTCTCTTACAGGAGGCCAGAAGTCTTGTTGAGGGTGCCAGCTCTGGAGGAAGGCGCTCCCTCCCTTTTGGTTGTGGAGGGTGGTCCTCCTTCCCTCCAGCATCTGTTGGTGTTGTGCTGTGTGGAGACCTCCCTGCGTCTTGGCCTTCCCTGGCACCAGGGAGCTTCCTTGTGCTGGAGATCCAGGTCCAAACACTCTACTCCTGGAAATTGTTTCTGGGTGACACTAAAGATCCTCCCTTCTTGGCTCACTTTCCTTTTATCTGTAGGGAGATAAAAGATAGCACAAGCCCTGCCTTAGGGCAGCTCTCCTTCTGTCTAATGAGGTATGTGATGAAGTAGGAGAGAGTGACATTCCACTAGGCCCTCCTACAGGTTTATCAGATCAGGAGCCCTCTGCCTCACTTCCACCTCAATTATATTTCCACCTCTGGAGGACACAGTTCAGCCCATAACTAGAGGACGTTGACCATCTTTCTTCCATCAAGTGACAGGTGGATTTGAACTGCCCGCGTTTGTGCTCACAGCCAGGTACATCACCCACTGTGCCCCTAGGGCTCCTCTGGGAGGATATAAAAATAGACATACATTGTCTCTGTCAGTTCTGGAAACTATAAGCCCAAAGCCAGATGCTAAGCTGGCTTGATGTGTTCCAGGGATTCTTAGAAAGAAACTGCCCCATGCCTATCTTCTAGCTGCTGGTTTCTGGCACGTCTTAGCTGGCAGCTGCATCTGCCTCTGTCATTCTGTGATGGACCTGCCCTGTCTATCTCTGTATATCTTCTGATTATAAGGACTCCACTCCTACAGGCATCGGGGCGGGCTTGATGGCTGATAAACTCTTCAGTGACACTGTTGACAAGATCCCGGTCCCATTCGCAGTTACCAGCGGGGTGATTAGGACTTCATTCTGTCTTTTGGGGGTACAGTTGAATCCATGCAAGACTTTGTGCTCTCGTGAGTAAGTCTCTGGCCAGGTGAAAGACAAAGCTGAACTTGATCGAAGACATGTATTTTCAATTGCTTTGTATACGTCTGAAACCTGGACAAGAGCAAAGAAGAAAGGATGCCTTTAAATTGTGGAGTTGAAAAAGAGTGTTGAATGTATCGTGGACTGCGATAAAAACACCCGTCTCTCTTGGCGGAAGTACAACCAGCGTGCTTTTTAGAGACAAGGACAGTGAAACGTCATCTAATGTGCTTTGGGGATGTTGTCCGGAGAGACTAGCCCTTGTAAAAGGATATTGTACTCAGGAAGATAGAGGGTCAGCGAGAGAGAGGAAGACACTCACTGCGTTGGGGGGGGGTGGGGTGGACAAAGTGACCGTAACAATAGGCTAGAGCCTATCAGAGAGGTATGCATGGCACAGGGTAGGGCAAGGTTGCGATCAAGGTTCCCAGGTTGCTGTGAGTGGTAGTAGACTCAGTGGATCCTAACGCAGCAGCGACTGGTGGTGGAGTGTTGGCCCCAGGGCCTCTCAGGGAGGAAGCTGGGTAGTCCCTTCCTGGTACAGCCTTCACAACTTGATGGAAGCGCGCTGGGAGTCGCAACAAACTCAGTGGCAGTGGTTAAAATTTTGTAAAATTATGAGAAGTAGTTTTAATTACAGCTCCCAGTTGTTCATTGCTTTTATATACAGGAAAAACTGGATTTTAGTATATTAACCTTGAGTATCGCTACTTTGCTGTATTTGCTTATCCCTGCAGTACTTTGGTTTTTATTTTTTAAAATTGCATTTGATTTGATTTGAATCTTTGGTGGCGGTTTTGTGTTTGTTTTTTTTTTTTCCAAAAAATACACACAATCGTGTAATCTGTGAACAGAGAATCTTTTATTTCCTCCTTCCAATCTGTGTGCCTGTTACAGTTCCTCTCCTTATCTTATTGTAGTAAATAAGATGCCAGGCATTGTTGAAAAGATGTGATAAAAGAGCACATCCTTGCCTTGTTCCTGATAGGAGGAAGAAAGCTTAAGTATCCTGCATCTCACCATTAACTATCTGTTCACTGTTGAGCAGGCTCCCCTCAATTCCCATGTAGCCCGTCCCTGTTTTGTTATGAACTGGTATTGGGCTTTTCAGATACCTTTCCTGTATCAGTTAATGTGGTGGCATCTCTTTGGCATGCTAGTACTGTGGGCTTGATTGATTGATATTTGACCACTGAACGACCTTTGCATAGCCTCATCATAATGCATCGTAATCCAGTGCACCAGAGAGCTGGACAATGACTAGGGAGGACAGAAGGAGAATTGACGCCTTTGAGCTGGTGCTGGAGAAGAGTGTTGAATGTACCGTGGACTGCCAAGAAAACAAACAGATTCATCCTAGAGAGGGTGAAGCCAGGCTGCTCCTTGGAGGCAAGGATTCTGAGGCTTCGTCTGACATACTTCCATCATGTTGCAAGGAGGGAGAGGTTCTTGGAGAGAGACATCATGCTTGGGAGGGTGGAGGGACAGCGCAGGAGGGGAAGGTCCTCTATGAGGTGGATTGATTCAGTAACTGGGGTAATCAGAGGCACAGGACAGAGGGTCGCTGTGAGTTGCAGGTGACTCGACAGCACATAATAACAACAACAACAACATCATCATCATAATGCATAATCTTCACTCATTATTGTATTTGGGCTTTGGCTCTTGTTATTGTTGCGGGTCTCTGCACACATGTTCATTGGAGACACTGGTCTGCAGTGCCTCCTGTCTTGGAGTGTTGTTCTCTGTTTTTGAGTCATGCCGATCTCATGGAATGAGTTAGTGAAGATCCCGCTCCTTCCACCAGGCTTGGTCCGGATCATGGCCACCCCCCTTTGGAGTCCCAGGGCTGTCAATGTCGTGGGTGGAGGCCAGGGCAGTTGGTGGGTTCAGGCCGCTCGCTTTTTTGCCCAGCTGTACAACATGTACCACTCACCATGGCTCCGTCTCGAACCGTCAGGCTGTGCCTCCTCTGCTCTGGTTTTTCTGGGACAAGGTTTAGCTAATTGGCGTCAGGTTCCCGTCAAATATTTGGCATCATCCACCAGTTAAAGCATCAAGTGTTGGTGCTCTCTGTTTTCCCTGGAAGGTTATTACTGAGTCAGCATCTTTTGTCACTGTGCACCTGTTGACAGGTGGCTTTCTCCATCTGTTTCGGGAAAGTTCATGCCTTTCAAGACGCCGTCCCATTTCCTCTAAGTCATGAGATGAGCGATCCTTGTTGGTGGTTTTCCTCTGTTTGTTCATGTTCATGCCCGTGACTTAGCTGTGTTTCTGACACAGGGACCCTGGGTCATTTCTCTTCCTTCTTGCCTCTTTGTTCTTGACCTTCAGCTCCTCCAGACCCGTCGAGGCCCTCAGCATTGGTGGATGTGGACCTGGGGCCATGCAATATTTGCACAGACCCCAGGTGTTTCTGGAAAAGCTCCTGATGGTCCTGGAGTTTGGGAGCCAACATAAATCTGGATTTAGTAATTTTTCAAAAAGTTGTTGAATCTGTTTAGCCAGCCCATTTATTAAAATCACATATCCCCCCGTTTTTTTAATGTTCAAACTGGTGATTGATTTGGGAGACAGCAAGGGGAGACCATGTGGGTGGCCCTCCTTTTTCCCAGGGACACCCTCTTGGTGGCTGTTACATTAAGTAGGACAGTGTACATTTAGTGTTTTAGGAGAGCATACATAATACACAGTCATAGTGGGTGTCAGGCGCTGTGGAGCTGGGCCCAGCCCACAAGACGCTGAGCGTGACGGGACAGGTGACTGGTTCCGTAGCATCTTCAGAGCCATCCCCACATTTCAGCTCACTGTTGTAGCTCCTGTGTCCCTTCCCTCCTCCTTAAAGGTCTTCCTCGTCTTTTGACCCTCTGCTCTACTAAGCATGATGTCCTTCTTCAGGAGCCGGCCCCTCCTGGGAACCTCCCCAGAGTATGTCACACACATTTCTCATCAGCGCTTGCCTTTAATTGCACGTGCCACAGCTTGAACAAAGGGTGGGTCCTGTCACTGCTCTTGATAAAGGCCTCTTTCTATGAGAGCACAGGGAGCTCTGATGACTTGGTGGTAAGGAGCTGCACTGCCAGTTCGAATCCATCCCCTGCTCCGTGGGAGGATGGGCAGTCTCCTCCCATGGGATTTACTGCGTCTGAAAACCCTCTAAAGGGTCAAGTATGAGTCGTTCCAACCCTGATGGCGCACGTCACCATGACGGCATAGTCTGTGGGGATGTGTGCTGCCCACACAAAGCTGGGGCCTCTCTCGCGGTTCGAATCCACCAGAGGCTCTGGGAAACAAAAATAAACGGTCTCGCCTGTGAGACTGAGAGGCTCTGGAAGGTCAGCTTTGACTTGGTTCTGACTCCACGGCACTGACTTGTCCCAGTCACAGGTATCCACTGCCTAGAAAGGGTTGCCACCGGAGGTGACCAGTGGCTTGCCTGTCGCTAAAGATGTTCCAGGCGAAGCTGGGGTCTCACAAGCAGATTTGGGGGAGCACCAGGGACTGCACAAGGTCCTTCATCTGTCCCCCTCCAGCTTCTCCCAGACTTGGAGCTGTAGCAGTGATGCCCCGGGTTCTCCACCATCCCGAGCATATAATCCAGTCCCACTGGCCCTTCCCGCTGACCATCACAATGCTCAGGGTCCCACCCGTCCCTCTCTGACTCTTTTTTATCTGGTTCTGGAAGGTTCTGCGCTGACCAATGGAAACCTGAGCCTGCACAGCCCCTTGAAGAGGAAGCTGGAGGCGGACAAGGACTACGTTTTCGACAAGAGGCTCAGGTACAGCGTCCGCCAGAACGAGAGCAACTGCCGTTTCCGGGACATCGTGGTGCGGAAGGAGGAGGGCTTCACGCACATCCTGCTGTCCAGCCAGACCTCGGACAACAACGCCCTGACGCCAGAGGTGAGAGGGCGGCGGGCGGGGGCTCCCTTCCCTCACTCAGAGCAGGATAATGTCTTTTTATTTTTGTTCTGCTGGGGAGCTGATTCACACAGCCAGCCGGTATGGAAACCAGAGCGCCAGACAGGCGATTTGCTATCACTTTGCGTCCTGGGTGATGGTGACGATCAGGACGTGTGTGAGCATTTTACAGATGAAGGTTCTGTGCGCGGCTGTTGAGTAAAGCGATCAGTGGAAGCATTGGAGGGTGGACGCCGGAACTTGTTGGAGGGGATGTCGCCAAAAAGGGACCAGCCTGGAGCTGGTAAGCTGATGTGGCATTGTCCATCATTCCTGGTACCCTTCAGGAGGCCAGAGAGCCGAATGCCCATCCCACCTACTCCCTGGAAAGACCCGAGAGAATGAAAACAGATAAACCCCAAACCCCATCAGCCGCTGTCAAGTCATTTCCAATTCCTACAGCCTCACGTCTGAGTAGAAGCAGACCATGTAGGGGTTTTGATGGCCTTTGGAAGTAGATTGCCAGGGCATTTTTGAGAGTGACCCTGGATAGACTCTAAACAACAGCCCAGAGGTTAGAAAACCAAACTAAACTCAGATTTGTACACCAGTGTTCATAGCAGCATGATTCACCATCTCAAGAACATGGAAACAGCCCAAATGTCCAACCACAAACTAATGGATTGAGAAATTATGTACATTCACACAGTGGAATACTATGCAGCACAAAGGAGTAATAACTTTGTAAATTATTACCTAACTTGGGAAGGACTGGAGAGCGTTATACTGAGTGAACTCAGTCCCACAAGGATAAATATTGTAGAAAACTGTTGTTGTAGAATGAGTATAAGGACCCAGGAGGGGTGGGAGAGTCTGTAAGCAGAGGGATGTGGATTTGTAGGGGGAGGGCCGGATTAATCATTGGGTTGTACAAGTTGATGGTGGGGTGGGGGGGGGTGTGTGAAGGAAATTGAAAGAATTTGTTCAAATTTTTATTTGAATTGCCACAAGATAGAACAGGGTTTAGGGCTGTTGTACATAGGGTCGCTATGAGTCGCAAACGACTCGACGGCACATAATGGACAACAACAGCAAATAAACTAGTAGGGGGAAAAAGCAAGAAAAAAACCCACACCAAACTAAACTCATCGTCTTCAAGCCTGTTCTGGCCCACAGTGACCCCGAAGGATCGAGTAGAACAGCCCCAGGGGCTCTGGGAATCTGTACAGCAGGACACTTGTTTCATCTTTCTCTAGTAGAGTGGCTTGTGGGCTTGAACCTCTGTCCTTTTAGCCAGCTACCCAGCTCTGCATACCCTGCACCGCCAGGTCTCCATGGTCAAGGCCTAACCTCTGGTGCCATCCACTACACCCTCCCCTCTGAAGTTTGTAGGGTGGAGATGGCTTGTTGCCCCCTGCTCCAGGCGTGGTGTCCTGGGGACGCTTGGTGTGCTGCAGACACTCGGGATGCTCTGTTGGGGGCCAGAACTCTCTGTGAAAGATCTGGAGAAGTCCAGGGCCCCCACCTCACACCAGTGCTGTTCTTCATGTGTTTATCCAGCTCTACACCTTGTTATTTTAAGCTCGTCATGAAGCATCCACATGAGACCAATTCTTCCTGGATTCCTTCTCCTTCACTGCTCCTTAAAAGCTTGCTTTTACGAGGCACAGCATTTCCTGGCGAAAAGCTGGACCAATGTGAAGTCTCCCAGCTCTCTGAGTCTCTTCACAGAAAGGCCTCTTAACATAAGAAGCCACTCTCTTACTTTAACTGTTGCCAGCTACGTGCATTTGAACTTGAAGTGTCCCGGTTCTCACCTCCATTAGGTGCCCGCTTTGCCTAGTGGGTGTCTGGAGGCAGCAGAAGATAGAACAGCGTGGTTGAGCTGGTCATGTTACGTCTCCACAGCCAGTGTGGATGGACTCTGCTGTTAAGCTGGCTGCTTAGACAGAAAGAGAGTCCACGGAAATGAAGAGATGCTTTTAGGAGGGGAGCCTGGTAGACCTGGGTTCAAATCCAGCCTCCACCACTGCTTTACCTTTGGGATGACCTTGGGCTCTTTCTTAGCCTCTCTGAGCTCCTTCTGTTACAGAAACGAGGAGCTCCCTTTCTCACTCTGCTGCTAGTCATGGGGTTCTCATTTTACTTGAAAGGCGTAAAGCGTACCCGCTCCAAAACAAATCAGATGATTTTTGAACCTCTGAAAGTTGGACAGTGACTAGGAAGACCGAAGAGTTGGTGCCTATGGATTGTGGTTTTGGAAGAGCACGGACTGTCAAAAACCAGACTTGAAGGGAGATCCATAGAGGCAAGAATGGAGGCACTGTCTCTCCTTCTTTGGTCATTACTGTCAGGAGGGCAGGTAGTAACTCTTGACATTGTTACTCTAACAGTGGGCTTGGGCCTGTAAAAAATGGTGAGGTTGACTCTGAATAGGGCAGGCCTCAGATGTGATGTCCGTTGGGTCCCAGGACGAAGAAGCTACAGAGCCAGTGTTTGGACTGGATGCACTCAGGACCTGGGTCTGACACCCACACCCGTTTTCCGTGTGTCAGGCAAAGGCCGTGGAAGGGTCTTGGTTGAGTTAAGCATGAGCAAAGATGTAGTTAAATGGTAATGTGGTCATGCTTCAGCTTCTAATGAAAAGGTTTGTAGTTGGAACCTCCCAGCTAGAGGAGGGCCTGGTGTGTGTCTCTGGTGATGGATGATGTCGTCAGGTGTCTCCAGGTGAGCTCCCACCTGTGTCTGTGTCGACAGAACGAAACCCTGTCACGTCCTGTGCCTCCTTGTCATTGCTGTCCTTGAGCCCGCTGTTAGAGTCCCTGTGCCCTTGACTCCATCCCCTTGAGAGTCCCCATCTTTTTGGCAGACCCTCTGCTTTAACCCAGCATGACGACCTTAGTGACCTTATAAACAGCAGGTCCATATTGAATATTGACTAGCAAAAGAACACTTCCTTTGTCATGGAGGAAGTACTATCTGGGTGCTTCTTAGAGGTACAGACGGTGACCCCCCCATCTCACTTACTTCGGGGATGTTGGCAGGAGAGGTGTCCTCGTTTCCAGTACCTGATGCTGGGAAAGGTAGAGGTCCAGCAGAAGAGGTGAAGACCCTCAACAGGGTGGGTTGGCCCCGTGGCCGCGTCAGTGGGCTTGAGCAGATGGGAGACGGTGAAGGCAAGGCTCTGATTACACCCCAGGGGCTGCCACGGCCCACTTCTCTCATACACGGTGATGACAGGTCAGGACTCTCATTGGGCTACAACAATGACAACAAAAAAAGAGCTGGTGTACGTGACTTACCTCGGTTGCACACCACTGCATTTGCGTACCTGCCGAAGGTGAGTGAGCAAATGTTGTGAGAAGATTTGAGAGGCTAGACCAGGGCTGAGGCTGCGCCAAGTAGACTCTAGAATCTGCAGCCTGTTCCCGTGTTGCCAGGAAGCCTCACGCCTGCAGGTTCAGGAAAGTTGTGGTGTGTTTACGTTCATTCCGTCGTCTAGTGTGCCCACAGTCAGGACAACACCAGCACTGGGCACACGCACGTTTACTCCCCTGTCCCTCCAGGGGGTAGGCGTGGCCACCTCGAGGTCTGAATGCTCCTGGCCTCTCGGACCTAACCCCCGCCACCTGGTGTCCACCCGCAGATCATGAAGGAAGTCCGGCGGGCCCTGTGCAACGCGGCCACCGATGACAGCAAGCTCCTGTTGCTCAGCGCTGTGGGCAGTGTGTTCTGCAGCGGCCTGGACTACTCCTACCTGATCGGCCGGCTGTCCAGTGACCGGCGGAAGGAGAGCACGCGCATCGCCGAAGCCATCAGGTGAGTCCGCTGCTCCCGCCTGCTCGGCTCCGCCGGGGGCTGCCACCCGGGGCAGATAACGGTGCAGGGTGTTAACGTGTAACGTCAGGCAGACAGCACATACACTCATTATAGTGTAGGTGTAGTCCTACTTGGCCACTGCGCGTTTCCTAAACTGGTGAGCTTATGGGTGAGTAATTGCGCTGCCAACCCAAAGCTAAGAGGTTCAAATCCACCAGCTGCTGGGTGGGAATATAATGGGCATTCTCCTCCCATTCCCTTCACTACCTCTGAACCCACTGGAGGGTCAGGCGTGGGTCGGTTCTGACTCGATGGCACGTAAAAACAGCGTGTCCACTGGTGGCATGGTCTGTCGGGAGTGATTCCGTGAGAGAAAGATGGGCATTTCCCTTCTCTGTCCTCTCCAGCTTTGGAAAACAACAGTCAGCGCTAAGTCAGTTCCAACTTGGCAAGGGTGACTGATACATGTGCCGTGTGGGATATGTTAGCTGCCTTTAAGCTGAGCGGTGTTCGGGGTTTCTTGCCTCCCGGTGCTGGATTTCCAGGCATGGTAATCTATTTAAGGGCTGAGAAACTATCCGGGGAAGAACTTGGTTCAGGGTCTGTTGTTTTATGTGCAGCCAAGTTGGAACCAACTCAGAGTTGATCTTCCAGAGGCTGTAAATCCTGCGAGAGGAGATGGCCTGCCTTTCTCCTTCAGAGCAGTTGGTGGATTTGAATCACTTGCCTTTGGGTTGACAGCACAGTTCTTCACCCACTAGACCACTGGAGATCCCTGGTTCAGGATTTGGTGGCACTTAAAAGACACTTGGCAGTAGAACCTTTCCTACCCTCACTTCTGGCCTCCCCAGCCTTGACCTGAGTCTCTATAACCTTGACTTGAGTCTCCCAAGCTTGACCTGAGCCTCCCCAGCTTTGACCTGAGCCTCCACAACCTTGACCTGAGTCTCTACAACCCTTGACCTGAGCCTCCCACCCTTGGCCTGTGTCTCTATGATCTTGACCTGAGCCCCCACAGCCTTGACCTCCATTGCATTTCTTTTGGGATTTCACTTACTTTTACATAAACAACACACACCCCTTAAGCTTGTTTGCCAACTACTCCTTGCCCTTGAAAGATAGTTTTATAAACCTGCTATGCTAGTTCTTTTTTTTTTTTTTAAATAGCAACACGTAGGGAAAAAACTGTTACAGTGATGCTTTTGAAAATTTCTTGGGAGAGGGCTAGTGGAGGAGATTGATAAACAAACTTAGAAGGTGTTTGCTGTGTGAGGAACAACTTAATCTTCTTAGGAAGATGGACCTTGAGGGTCCACCAGGTGCCTGCGGGACCACAACTCAGGTCCTTGCCGTCCGCTTGGCCCTGCCTCACAGCTGACCCCCCGCTGGGTTTCTGAGGCTCAGAGCCTCTGGAAGGAGATTGCCCGTCTTTCTCCTCCTGAGCCGCTGGTGGATTCAGACCCCCAAAGTCACGGCCTTGGGGTGAACAGCACACCTCCCCCCAGGCTGTGCCATCAGTGCTCCTGTGGGGTCGCGGCATCCCCCCCAACAGTGCTCCCACCCTCCTCATCCTCATTTGAAGCAAGCATGTGTGCACCTGACTCGGTGTGAGATGTGCACTCAGCAAGCGTGGGGGGGTGGTTCCCCAGAAACCGCTCTCCAGGACCTCAAGCCGGCCGCCGGGCCCATTCTGGAGGAGCAGTGTAGATGAGGGGCTGGCCTCTAATGGGCGAACCCATAGAAAGGGGCTCATGGACCCCTGTGGCCTGGTGGTTCCTGGCATGCAGCCTTGGAGCGAGCTGCTTGAGCTCAAGTCCCGCCTCCGCTGCTTGTGAGTGGTGCAGGCGTATGTCTATCACTGAAGTCCCTGAGCCATTCATTCAGTGGGATTTGGAATTGGAACCCTGGCGGTGCTGGCCCCTGGGAGAGTTGTTGGGATAGAGAATAATCAGACCGCCCACATAGAATGACCGGGCAGCCGCACTAAACTCCTAGGGGCCCTGGTGGCCTTGTCTGTCGGGGGAGGGAGTTGCACTGTTAACCTGAGGGCTCCCAGCTTGAATTCACCGCCAACTCCTCTGGAGAAAGACAGGCCGTCTTCCCTGTGTGATGTACAGCTTGAGGGCTGGCTGTGAGTAGACTCCAGCTCTCAGGCAATGATGTGATGTTGGTTCGCAGGTTGTATTTTATTTTATTTCTACTAGCTTATTTACATATTCGAATACATTGTTTTCAAGAACAGATTCTTTCAATTTCCCTCAGCCCCCCACCCATCAAATTGTAAAAGCCCATGATTAATCCTCCCTTCCCCCTGCATGTCCTCATCCCTCTGCTTCCACCCTCTCCCACCCATCTTGGATCCTTATACTCATCCTACAATAATGGTTTTATACAGTGTTTATCCATGTGGGACTGAGTTAGTTCACTCAGCATAACGCTGTCCAGTCCCTCCCAAGTTAGGTCATAATTTACAAAACGCAGGTTGTTTTTAGAGTGACTCCTGCAGCTGCCGTCAGTTCTCCTCCGACTCACTCTTCCCCACGTGCCATCCATAGACCAGTGGCTGATTTTTTTTTAAATTTTTTAAAATTTTTAGTAAATTTTATTAGTTTTAATGAGCATTTACAGGGATTTTG